ACTTCTCACAGAGTAGGGTTCCACCACACGTGTCAGGTTGGAACGATTGTAATCGACTCAAACGCTAAAACGAAAGTGCTTGCCAAGATCTTTGCTGCTGCCAACTGCACCATAGACGTCCCCCTCAACGCACAAGTGGCGTTAATTCAAAGGGTTTCCTTCACTTGATTCCTGCCGTTGTATTGAAGAGGTGTGCAGCGAAGATTGCTCCAGTTCCTTTGCACCTCTTCCAGATATCTTACGAACGTCACGGCTTGATTAGTGACAGGCAGTATGGTTTCCAGCGATCCACAGGGAATCTTTTAGCTTGCGTCACGCAATTGAGGAATAAGCTCATCCAGTCTTATGGTGAGACTCATGTCGTTGTTCTTGATATCACGGAAGCGCCATCTTACCTTCATCTTCATCCCACAACGTCAACGCGGGTGTTCCCCAGTGATCAGTGTTGGCTCCGACACATATTAACGACTGCCTTCACCTGGAAAAAAGAAGACTTCCTCGCTGTCAAGAGACCTGGAGGTTATCACTGCTTGGGGGTGCAACAATCTTGTACAGCTTATTGATTCAAAAACACAGTACTGTACCTAGACGGACAAAAAGCGTCCTAGCGCTCATCCAGTTTCGAAGCCAGAAGATAGTATCTGCTAATTTTACATTTTACAGAAGCGATGACAACGTATTGTAATCCTTCTCAAATTCTACCGTTTCAAGGAGACAGAATTATTATGGATTGTACCCGGTTACAATTGATAAATATTTTCTAATGAATTCATTAATTTGACCGAGGATGCAAATCTATAAATAAATAAAGCATACTGTTACCTCAGAATTGTCTGAGCTGCTGTTTTTTCAATCAATAACACAGTATGTGCTACGCCATGTTGTTTCTCGTACGTGCGGCATCGAATCCAGCATATACTTTTCTTTACAGAAGCCAGGCAATAACAAGCATGCTTCTTAGTGACGTATATACCAAAGCTTTAAGATCTCCGAGATATTAGGTATCCAAAAAGCAATGAATGAGCGAGTACGACCCTGCCAAACCCTCTTCCCCAACCCCCAACAAGCCCCTCCTACGTCAAAGCAAGGTGAGACAGGATCCAAATTAAGCGACTAGGTAGTGTCTAGGTTGATAAACAAACCACAGTTGAAAAACGGAAACTGGCACATTCCTAGCAGTAACATAGTTATAGATTTGAAATGAGCATCTTCGAGATTCTATTGATAACTTGCGAGTGTGAAGAACGTCGCCGTCGTCCTCTATGTTTCTTAGCGTCTTTCATGCATATGTTTGTTTATATCGTCGGGTTGAACACAGTTGTAGACCTAGACAGCCTCAAATGTAGCAAACGTAGGAAGAAATAAACAAACTGGTGTTTTTGAATCTAAGAGCGACAACTTCAACTAGTGTTTACAAATAGAACAGGGCAGGACATTTTTTACCAAATGAATGGGGAGTATTTTGCCTCAATCTATTTTTTACGTTTTCGGTAATGTTTTGCCGCAAATAAGCTTTGGTATTGCAAACGTAGTTGACTCTGAAAACGAAAGTCCCAACGTTTAGGATACCCTGTATAATCTTTAGTTATGAAATCTATAACAATTTTGTACAGTATCCGACAAAAAGTAATTGAAAATGTAATGAATTCGATATGCTTGCGCCATTGCTTTGGTTATAAATTATAACATAGTATGTGTATGGTTTCTAAGCAAGAATACAGTAAGTACATGTCATTTACTATGTTTTAATTTATTGTTGTGCAGATACTATATTCTAATTTGGGATCGTAAAATGCTGGATACTGAAAAAGAAAAATTCTAGATTTTACTGTATTTTATCATCGAAATATGCTTCATCTTCGTGCATTTCCTATTATAATGACAAAATCTTATTTTCGCGTTCGTGGTGTTATTGGCCAGACAAGCATCGGGAATTATCGATATATCAAATACACCTAAAAGGATAAGTTTCAGATGTTACAATAAATTTAGATCCTACACTTCAAGTTAATGAAACAAAAATGGACTCAATCGATTCTTGCGCCAAACGCTACAATTTGTATAATAATGACCTACTGCTGAGCTAAGTGTTATCCGAAGAATTCGGCTCAATGTGTTTATGTCGGCGCGTGTTCGAATGGTGGTTAGAAGCTTGTTCCCGCTTCCGGTCAAGGCGCTTGTTAAAATGTGGAATGGCTGGCAAGGGGCGGTAAGAGGTGACTGACAGACGCTTTCGCGGCTAACCCCCCACCCATTCTGCTTGACCCCTTGTTCTCTGTAATGTCTACCCTCAACTCAATTGTAATTAATCTTGTTTAGAGGCCAGATCGATTCCGAGACGAGACTGAACTACACAAGTGTGAAATTTGTACTTGTGGGGTAATAGGTATGTGAACCGGCTCGTCATATATGATTAATAATATAAGTGGATGTCATAAGCTTTTGAAAATATATGGAACAAGGTGCTCCACTGTGAGTAGATATTCAAACGGCTTCCCTCACGATGTCATTCTGAATAGCAGAGTCACAGGAGAATATCACGCAGGGACTTATGAAATATGAGACTAAAAAAAAAAATGATGAGATTAAGTGGATATCTAAGACCTTTGTCAAGTAATTTTGTAATCTTATGCAAACGAAAGTATATAAAAACATAAAAAAATTACACTATTACAATTGAAGTTCAGAAAAAATAGATATGGCTTAAAACAAGACCAAGATTATGTAATTATACTAAGAAAGTTGATGTAGAATAGATTGCAGTAATATATCATGCGGTAATGTATGCCCTGACCATATTCAGAATAATAATAATAATAATAATCATAATTTATTTATCCTGTAGATCACAAGATGATATAGGATAAGTCACAATGTAATTTTTGTATGACAAGAATTGCACATATACATGAATAATATTCAAATATCAAAATAACACGATGTGTATATGTAAATAAAGTAAATTGACAATAAATTAACAATTTCTAATTAAACAATAGATTAAAACAATTAGAAAATACAATTACATATTAAAAATTCTTTTAAAGAGTAGAAAGCTTTATCCAGTGAAATTTGCCAGATTCTTTTTTTAAGTAATGTCAGCAGTATTGGTTTTGGATCAATGGGTAGTCTGTCGAAGAGTTTGATTGCATGTATTTGGGACTCTCCGTTCCATGTAATGGCACCATCAACACTTCGCTGTTTCTTGTACTGTAAATTTTTTGAACTAAACTTGTCGAGGTAGGTTTTGACGTAAGCCAATATATTTAATATGTATACTCAAGACAGCGTTAAGATCTTCAAAGTTGTAAATAATTCCCTGCAGCTAAACCGCCTTCTCACCTATGTTATAGCACTAATAGCTCCTTTGCGCACTAAATACCCTTTGTAACTTGGGGGATGCTCCTGATGCTTCTATTCCGTAAGCCAGAGTAAATATTATAGTAAAATATTAATAAAATCCGATTATCAACGATAAAACTCAGCTGGTACATGCAATAGCAAAGTAGGGTAACTTGTTGAATAAAAAACTTATTACATCTGTCGATGTTTTAAGCTTAATTCAACAACCAACATTAAAAGCTAATGTGTTATCTTCTTGGAAATGTATATCCGAATACGTATAAATTCTGTTCAAACAAAATGCCAAGTTTGTAATTTTTTTTTCGAACTGGATGTCCCATATTTTACCAAGCGCTCAAATAGGTCTTGCCTAACGAAAAAAGTTGATATAACATACTATAACGTTTTGATGATTAGTTGTGGAGGTGATAAGCGTTTTAATATACGAGAACGCTCCGATTGGGTAAGCTGTCAGCCCGTCATTTGAAAGGTTAGTGAATTTATACTCCAGGATTACAAATTTCGAGTAAGTAGCTTCAAAATAAGGTATCGCGTTATCCCCATTCCATTAGAAAAATGTTTCAAGATAGCGCCCAGCGGGCATACCGAAACCATTTTTCATCGTTCCGAATTTCTGCTTGCTATCTTACATGAATTGTGGATGTAAGGTGCCATTTTGGCCATAAGGTTATCAATTTATCTAAATATACTCTCCTCGACATCAATGCACTTGTCCTATTTCTCCTCCAGTGAACTTATACCCTTTCTTCTTGACTCTAAGAAAAGTCGTCTATACCTGCTTGCAAGCCATCATCGGCATCATCTGAGTCAAAGTGGTGTCATCAAAGATTTGTTTTTGGTTATTTAAAAAGATAAAAGTTCGGACTATAGGGCGGACGGTCTATCTCAAAGAAGCTGCATTCCTGCACAATTGGTCTAATTGTGCCAGCCTTATGAACGGTCGTATTGTCATGCAGCAGAAACACTTCATACCTGCGCAATTTCTGTTTAGATGTCAACAGTCGTGCAACCCACCTGGCTGACACCTTCCACGTATTCAAATTGTCGTGCAAGATGGTTTTTTCGCTGGGTCCCGATATATTAAATGCCAAACTAATGACAGAGACTTTCACAAGAAGGAACCATGGCTTCAGCTTTGTGAGTCATTACATCATTTATTGTATTTTTTGGGTCTTGTTCTTTAGGGATAATTTTCTATGGATTCACGCCCACATCGAAACTGTTTCGACCAAAAATTTATTGTGTAGTATGCAGGTGCATATAATCCCCATAGACCGAAACCATTCTCTGAAGAATTGTTTTCGACTGATGTCTCTCTCTTGTCAGAAGTTTTATGACACTGCGATATACTATATATATAAGTTACACAATTCACTTTTATAAAACTGATAAATTATCAAAAAAAGCTCAAATTTTGCGAGCAAGGTTTACCGCTGTTTGACATATTATGCTTGAGCCCTTTAAATGTTTTTCTCATGGCCAGGTAGACTTCTTTTCTAGTGTCCCTCGTATATTGACTAGATACAAGTAGATTATTTCTTTTGGACCATCGAGGTACTATAGTACTATATGTCTGTCACGTATACCTCGTCTTATTTAATTGACAGTAAACAAAATATTGGCCATCGCTTGTATGTTAACAGCTTTCACCACATCGGCTAGCATTATGAATACAGAAACAACAAGTTCTTCACATGTGCTGCAACCAGTGACGTCACGACACGTTCGGGAAACACAGGTGACAAACACACACCGTCCGACGAGAATATATAAATATATCAATCAGATAGATTACCAATCAGTATTGAGGCCAGCGGCATTCGGTATAGTGCGAGTATTAAACCGACTACTTGTAACGATTGTGAAGATATTAATATGGCGAAGCTTGTCCTTTTAATGACTATGCTGTGTGTACTTGTGAATATTGTGTTTGGTAGACCTTCACAAGGTAAATTCAATCTTCAGTTACAGCTAATATATTTTCTCCATTTTTTTAAAGCTTGCCGCATACCTAAATATAAAAATGCACTTTCAAATACAGGGTGGCGCATTTAGACCAGACGCTTTTGAAACAGATACATTGAAATTGGCAGTGGTGGGAAATGACCAACCATTTCATCGTGAAGCCGTAAAGTTTGGAATGTCTTACTTCCTTCGCCACTGCGCAAGGAAGTATTGTAACCGCGAAACATTTCGAAAATAAGTTATGATTTCTGGATGTTTAATGACATTTACTTCACGAGAATCCATGTCACTCATTTCTGACTGTCAGTTCATCTGTCAGCTCAAGCTAGTCCTGTCTGAAACTTGGAAGGTGTCGCTCGGGTTTTGATGAAACGGCACGACATAACTACTATACCAAGGACGAAAAAGCTTCAAAACACGAAAAAAAAGCTCAAACTTTGCTTGAGGCCCCTGATCATTTTCAGATAAAATTTTGTAGGGGTTGAAATTCGGAGGCACAATTTTCCAATAATCAATAATTGTTCTCGTATCTTACCTGTTCCAGCAAGTCATCCAACCCCTCAAGTTATGTGCAAGATGCCTGAAGTAAGAGGTCGATGTAGAGCACTACTGCAAAGATGGAGGTATGATGCGTTGTCCGGTAAATGTATGGAATTCAAATTTGGAGGCTGTGATGGAAATGAAAACAACTTTGCATCGGAGAAGGCATGCATGGCGATGTGTGCAGGTATTAATACTAGCTAAGTTATGCTAAGAATAATATACAGTTAGGCCTTTGAACTAGGTATAATACTTACCTAGTAGATGATATTTTGACACTGTGGCATTATTACGATAAGCGTTTCAACACGAATTTTTGGAATTATCAGTAACGTATATCAAAATACAAAACCCCATGGCTCATAATTTTTTCTCCAATTATTTTGTAGGCTGGATTATGTTTTAGAACCCATCACGTAGAACAAAAGTGTCTATGGACACAAGGTTTTTCACTAGGTAGTGGTTGCCGAGACACAGGGCCTTCAAGTTCGTCAGATCGCAGCTTATTACAGTATATTGTGGATCCGATACACTTATTTTTTTATATACCGAAGCTGTCGCGCAGGCAGAAGCGCAGACACCGCGGATGCTATGAGGAGCTTAATGAAACTTTTTTAATCTGATTTTTGAACTGCCTCATGTTAGTAGGACTAGAAAAAGTATCCTCAGGTAGATCGTTCCACTATCTCGATACGCTATGGACTACGGAGCGGTCGTATTGGCAGGTTCTGAATGTAAGAAGTTCGACACAGTTGGGATGGGTCTAACTGGCAGGTACATCGCGCAGCAGCATGGAGGAGAACTCTGAGATGCAAAGCCCGTTGTCGTAGCCGTAGAAGAGTTAGATCACCGTCGGCTTGTTTGTGCGAAAGGGTCTTGAGGCTGTCCGTTAGGGAAGAGCCATCGATCAGTCGAACAGACCAATTCAGAACATCATCGAGAATGGATAGTTTGGGCAGCAGCACCCCAAGCATGTGAGCAGTACTCGAGGATAAGTCTTATCTGAGACTTGTTCAGGCTGAGAAGGTCATGTAGAGAAAATTACTACTAAGATTCAAACAAATAGGCTAGCTTTTACCCAGCAGCTGCCGCTATTGACGAGAAACTTTCGTGCCAGATCAAGTCCTCGGTGATCTGGATTCTGACCAGCCGAAGTGAATGGCTCCTTGGTATAACAAGGCCTTCCATCGGGACCGAATGAGCGTTAGGGCATTTCTTGGTAGTCAAGGACATTAGTGTGTTTTGGAAGCATTAAACTGCAATAGATTGTTAGGTACCCAAGCAGTGATAACTCCAGGTCGCTCGTCAAAAAGTCGCTGCTAGTCTTCTTTACTCCAGCTCAAATATCGGCTTGTTATCAGCAAAGTTAGGACGGGATTGTTCGTAAGGGAAGAGAACAATGTCGGAGCCAATTATGACGAACATCTTGAGAACAGAGAGGAAGTCAAGCCAGCCATCTGCAAACCTTCTCTAGGAGGTCTAAGGATTAGCGGCCAGACAGACAGACAGACATACCGACAGACCGATAGACAGACCGACGGAAATGAGTGACATGATTTTTCGTGATGTATAATATAGCATCCAAAAACCAGAACATCATCATTTTCGAAATTTATCGCGATTATAAAACTTCCTCGCCCAGTGGAGTAGTAAACACTCGACAAAACGCAAAACCATTTAGGTCCATCCAAACTTGTAATAAAGAATATAGCTGTCTATGAAAAACAACTTTGAAATGCATGTCAGTAGTCGGACTCGTAAAATCCTGACGATTTTTGAAATATATTCCCACGAGGACGGTGCAGGATAATCTTGAACAAAATTTTTGAAAATGCCTGTTTCCAGGGGAAATATTTTATCCAAGTTTGGGACACCATGTATACGTAATAACATCACAATGTGAACTGGATAGTAGGGATGATGACCATAATGTTAAACACCAAACAACTTTAGTAAACTTAAAATTTCACTCTAACAAAACCGAATCAAAATTTGTTTAGTTCACCTCAAAATTAATCCGTGTACCAAGTCAAATAGCCTATGTGTCTCCTCTTAAAATAAAGACTTCTGTTTTTCTTTGCTCTTCTCCATTTTTCTTCTCTTTCCCTTTCTCTTTTTCCTTGACATTGTCTGGTTTCTGGGCAACCAGTACTGACAGATTCGACTAACGTGTAAACTGACTAATGGGTAAAGGTCCTACGGATCGCCCAGACAAACAAATGAGTATGAGAATAGTACCAAACAACTATGATACGCTGTGTCACCTATCCAACTTGGACAACCTATATCTCGGAAATTATTCGTGGAAAAACTTTGGGTCACTTTTGTGGACATCTACAACATACTATTTTTAAAAAAATAGCAAAAAGCCATTCTCAATGTTTGAGTGCAATGAACCTCGTTACGCAATATCTATATAAAAGTTTGATTTTGGGGTAGCTGTTTGTTTAAACCAAGATGGAGTCGCTAATATGAGTAAAATTTTTATCATTGATATTTCTTGGAAGTCTCGTCAGTACTGTGGAATAGGATGTTTCTTAAAAAATGACACCATTCTTGATTTTTTTTTATAATATAATATTCTTGATAATAATTATTAATATTATTTTATTTTACCTTCAGGTATCCGCTAAGAAAAGTTGGGATGCCAACCAAATTAAAGCATTTGATCACCTCTATGTACAAATTAGCATATATTTTTGAGTACCTATTTATTTTTAAGACTTTTGTATATGTTGATGTAAATATACATTTGATAAATATTTTATTTGGATGTTTCCTTTTATTTTGCGTGATTATTTTGGTAGACTGGTACACACCAAAGTGATTAGACGATCACAGTTAAATGAATGCCTTACTTCGACATATCATCCTAGAAGGAAGTTGATAGAACTTTCAAGAACTGTTGTTTGTTTAAGCTTAAACATCAGCCTGCAGTTCTGTCTGGCTGCTCACACAAAGATGCATACAAATAGGATCGGTTATCTATTCATACATATAATTATTATTTTTTTATTATAAAACTCACCTAATGTACAATTTCTTTACGTTAGCGCGATCATTTAGCTCGTTTGAAAAAGATGAAATATTAGGGAAATATTGCATCTAATCTACTACAGGACAGAATTCGGATTTAAAATCTAAGTTAAAAAAACTACAAAAGGTAAACATTTATTTCAATAATCATTATAGAGAAGAATAATGCGGGTTTTATTTCTTAAAAATCATGTAATCCAAATGTTGACCATTACCTCGCCTCATTATATTTTGTCTCATAGCTAAGATGATCGCTGGGTTTAATTGATAGACTTTACTTTTCAGGTAACCCCACAGAAAAAAAGTCCATGGGGGTAAGATCCGGTGACCTGGGTGGCCAGGGTATGTCACAGAAACGACTTATCAGTTTGTTATCTTGTTGAAACCATGTATGCGAACTAAGGGCACGATGTTCTTTTAATAATGGCAGAAAATGATCGTTTAACATGTACCGGTAAGAAACACGGTTCACACTTATTGCTTGCCCTCGACATTTTTCGAAAAAATAGGGCCCGATTATTCCATTACTGGATAATGCATACCAAACCATCACTTTGGGACTGTGAAGTGCCTGCTAATGCTTCAAACGTGGACTCTGACCTAAGGATGACTAATAACGGCTGCTTATTCACGCATCCATTTAAATGAAAGTGGACTTCGTGGTTCCAAAAATAGTGTTTACTGTACGAAATGTAACATTGTATCACAGAAATTTTTGCACAATTCGTTACAATAATTAGCCGTAGGTACTTGCACAATCTGAATTTTAAAAGAGTGCAATTTAAGATCCTTCTTCATTATTTCGTCCACAATGGTCTCGAGGAGCCCTAGGACAGCCGCTCTCTTGCGCATTGGCGCAAGTCCAAGCCGTTCGCAACGAGTTCAATGTTCATTAGTCCTCGACGTCTGGGAATTAGTTCACCACTTGGAACATCATGTTTTTGTCGAATATTATACCGTGAACAAAATTGTCGACGTGCAGTTGCACACAGTTCATTCGCGAAATATGCTTCGATTGCGAATGCGAGTTGTTCTCCCGTCCAATGCGACATCGTGACTAAAAACCCGCACAAATAACATAGCTTTCGCGGTTCGCGGCCCCTTCTCCGCTTCCCTGCCTAAAGGTTACGGAAACATTTGATTTTAAATCCGAATTCTGCCACCGGACACACTGTATATAACTCTTGTTTCCATACGTGATTTGAATGTTTAACAATTTCTAATAAATATAATTCATCAACTTGTAAACGAATATTTAATGCCTCTTTATTCCAAATATAGAAGAATCCTATTTTTAAACAATATTCTAAGTTTTTGCTTAGAAAAAAATGTTGACTCAAATTTGGGTCTGACAGCAGATTCCTTAGAAGGCGCCGTTTTCGAATGAGATTATTCAAAAAATCGGAATCAGAGTATTTTTCCCACCAGATGCGAAGATATTGCCAGGACTAAGTATATAGTGTCTACGAACCCGAATAAACCATGTATAGTGAGAAGGTCTAACACAATACGTTCGTCAGTTCTAAGGATTAAATTTTAAAAATTAATGTCGCCGCGTCTAGTACATTAAAATGAATGTCCGTGGGACATTTTATAGCCACCTTTATTTCCAAGACGTTACACAGAAGCTATACGGAGCTGTAGCAAAGTACGGAGTTTTCCATCGAAGTATCAATAAAACATCAATTCTACATCCGTCAAAATGGCCTCCTTGGGAAATTATTTCCGCAGTATTTATTTCATTTCTTGGCTGCTTTACGGTAAAATTACACTTTACTGTCGTGTTTATTACTTGTTGCTGATAGTTTCGTACCTCAAGGCAATTACAGGAATTCAAATATCCATATATAACTATTATCATATGAAATTTTTTTTGACGTACGACATGTTTTCACAATAATGTCATCATACTGCCAACATTTTTTAATGTAATATCTGATCCCGTTTATCATGTACATTCAGTTATATTGTGAAAAATTCAAAAACAATGCGACATTTGCGACTTGTGTGTAATAAATCAATTTTCGTCATCGGTGACTATATGCAAACGATACTATGTAAATTCAGATAACTTGGGGTGCGAAATTCGAATATTATTTATCAATAAAAAACATTAAATGGTGTCGGCTTAGATGTGAAAAGTTGGTAATCACCTCGGGACCACCCGTGAATCCTAGCACTAAATTGACATCGAATTTGGAATTTATGCACCGGATCCACATAGGAAATAAGCTTCCATTTGCATCATAGATGCGCAAGAATTTTTTGAGATTAATCGTTTTTTGATAAGTAGACTTCTTGCTAGTATCTTGTTAGCGTCTCAAAAAATGTATTATGAGAATGATTGGGCTTCCGTTCGTGACTGACCCATTTTTGACCTTTTTGTAACATAATACCTAATACATAGTTACTAAAAATTAAAATGCATTAAATACGGTTGAAGTGAACTCTTTCGTACGTACATATATTATGGGTCGCTAGAATCATTTCACACGTATGCTTATCACGAGTCACCGAACCCGATTTATCTCGAAAATAAGATTCCTTTTAGATCATAGTGGGAGAGTGTATCACAAATTTTTGATATTAGTATATTAATACAATTCCAGCCCCGATAATTGAACGCACCTCTTAGACATATTTCACACATCATAGATTTCCCCGTACATTTTCCCTTAAAACTTAAAAAATATTTTACGATTCCTCAGTATGGTTTGGCCGGACGAGTGACAGCTGTTACTAGTACAACTGAAACCTTGTTCAATGGCGAGTAGACCGTATCTACTACAGCACCAGAATCGGCGGCATCTTGCGGTCGCTGTGATAACCCGGCAAACTGGTGTATAGTTCAATCAGACTGCTTGCTACTTTTTAACTGATTCACTAAGATTCCGTAGTGAATAAGATTTATGTTCACTTTTAAATTAGTTCATAATGGCATTTATTCATACTACCATTTGTTCGATTATTTTCCTTAACACGTATTCATATTCATTCATAAATATGTTTCTTGTATAACCTTAGTTTAATAAGATAAGATATTTTGTTCCCTTAATTAATAACTAATGAGTAAAGAGTCGTTGCATATTCTATCCTCACTCCAAATGCAGTAGCTAGCCATCATACAAAAATACCTCCCAAAGTGCTCCACTAAAACTTCATCAATCGCTGCTTCAGTAATAAAAGATGCCTATTAGACCAGCAATCGCTTCCGCATGTAGCTTGATGTTTTTTTGCTTCCCGAAGTCCCACTATACGGCCCCTATCAAACTCACTAAGTTGACGAAATCGTACAGGTCTCCGTACTCTAGGCATCGTAACCGATCGTAAAGGATGCCAAGAACCAAAATCCGCCAACGTTGATTCTTTACTGCGGCTGAAATATTCATTTTTAGAGCGTTAGTGAATTAAAAAAAAGCAGTATAAAAACCGGAATGTCCAACTGATAAGGCTGAAAAATTTTCACTTGTTATTTACAGTAAGATAAATACATTCACCAACTTTTATTAAAATAAAACCATTTAACTGGGTGTTCGGATTTATATGTCACTTAGTATATATCTAAACTACATTTCTTCATATTTCTACTAACAAAAAGTTCATTTTTTAAAGTGTAGAAAATATCGAATTCAATCTATCCAAATCAAAAAAAGTGAAAATCGTCAAAATGTCAGTTGCAATGCTACTAGATGCATGTATCGGCTTGTAGATAATATATTGTGGAACAAGGAATAATAAATGTCTATGTTTGCGATTTAGCTTAAGGCATTCAATCACTACTTTACCGTGGAATAACTAATGAGTAAAGAGTCGTTGCATATTCTATCCTCACTCCAAATGCAGTAGCTAGCCATCATACAAAAATACCTCCCAAAGTGCTCCACTAAAACTTCATCAAATCGCTGCTTCAGTAATAAAAGATGCCTATTAGACCAGCAATCGCTTCCGCATGTAGCTTGATGTTTTTTTGCTAAAGCGCATTTGCGTAGTCTGCAGGTTTTGCAGAGCACCACCCCATAGTATGCAACCCTTTGTTGCCCGAGTCAGTACACTACACAGTCGAGTAAGTTTGCAAGTACAAAAGGCCGCGGCAGTGTTAACAACATTAAATCGTGCGACTTTAGGTGCAACCAAAATCATTATTTTTCTTCAACAACCAATCTTTAAACTAATTGTAGGATCAATTTAAAATTCCCGAACTCTAGTTACCAATGTCCCTGGCACCCCCCAAATGGACGCACTTCTTTCTATTTGCTCTCCCCCTTCCCTTCTTTCTTCTTCCCTTCTATCTCCCAGACTTTGTCTGGTATCTGGGCAACCAGACCTGACAGACCTGCTAACTTAGAATACTTTAGCTGAGGGCAAAGGTCCGACGTACCGCTCTGATAGACAATAACGAATAGAAGACCTCTATTAATCATTAATCAATCCAAGCAACTTTAATTGCCTCTTTAAACAAGGCAAACTTTTCTTTTCGGGCGACCTACACCGACCGCAAAGATGTCTTATTTAAGGGACACAGGTGTCCCAGAATGATAAATTGCACCCAAGCTCGACGTAACTCCTCTTAAGGATAAGATGCTCGGATTCTATCTCAAAATGTCCTATCATTGATATTTATTATTCGAATAAATATAAATAACGCCTCGCATTCTTGTACACTTTTAGTTCAGCCGCGAAACCTGTTTTGCGGATTTTCAGAGATGAACTGCGCCCTAGGCGTGCTAAGTT